TACCAGGAACATCAAGCACTTACTTTTAAAGAATATTTATCCCTATTTTATAGTAAGTTAAATCCCCTTTAGATGGCACTCTAAGGGATTATCCAAATATCTCGCTCATATTAAATTAGGGCTTGAAATAAGTGGGTGTGATTAGAATTAGAATTATATTATTCAATACATTATTGGATTCGATTATTTTCTACTGCACTTTTCCCATTTTTACATGTTTTCCATTTTGGCCTTTGTTCTGTTTTGCTTCATTTCCTTGGGGTTATATCCTGCATGTGTACCTATTTAAAAAATCAACACAGAGTGGGTAGAGTGGGTTCACTCAACACAGGAGGTAGGGTGGGTTTTTTGTTTGTTTGTTTGTTTTTTCGAAGAATGAACAAACACTGGGAAATCCTGCCCCAAACAGGAAATCTTGCTAACCTGATCAGGGCAGCTTGCTAACATCCTAACAAGAATGTTGGACTGTGAGCATGTTTTGGGCCTCAGGAGAGCCTGGGAATAGTCTCACAGGTAAGAGAGTGGCCAGTTTCAAGAGAAGAATCCAGAGGGAGAGCACACACTCAGAACTCAGAATGATTGCTGTCTTGGGTGCTGACTGTACTGAGATTCTAGCCAGAACCTTAGATTGATTGTAGGCTGCAGGCATATGGAAATGCCCACTCTGTTAGGTATATGATACAGAAACCTGACTCAGACTGGTGTTAGCTTCTAAGGGGATTTTGTAGCTCAACTGACTAAGAAGACAAAAGTTAGATTGGTCTTTAGGTTTGGCTGGATCCAGGGTCTCAGATGTGGTCATCAGGACTCTTTCTCTCTCTTTCTCTTCTCCTGCCCATTTTGCCCCGTTGACTTCATTCTTAAGCAGGCTGTTTCCCACGTGGCCAAATGGACACCAGCAGCTCCAGCTTCAATCTTAGTAGCTCAGCAGCCCGAGTGGGAAAAGAGCTTCTGTCTTCCAATTGTTTCAGCAAGCGTTCCAGGACTGGCTCTCATGAATCTTCATGGGTCACGTGACTGTCGGCCCACTGTGGCTGTAGCTTTAGCCTTAGGAGGAGGGTCAGCCCCGTACTCCTGGGAGTGCAGAAGCATGGCTAGCCAAGAGAAGATAAAGTTGCTGGGACCAGAGGAAAGGGGGAGGAGTGAAGATGACCACTGTGCCGGATCTGAGCCTGAGGAGGGCACTCAGTGGTGGACCTCAGGCAACAAGAAACCGGGCATTCGAAAGAGTGGGCATTTGAAAGAGTGGGCTTGCCGATCTACCTAGGTTCTAATCCCAAGTCTGCCGCTTGCTAGCTACAGGACCCTTGCCTCAGTTTCCTTACCACACACACACACACACACACACACACAAGAGGTGTGAACACTTACCACGGAAGGTTGCTGAGAATGTTACTGGATAATACTGGGGAAATACCAAGCACATGCCTGCGTGTTTTCTCATTCTCAATAAATGTGAGCTCACTTCTCCGTTCTTGTTCTTGACTTACTATGTAATAGAGTGTCTGTACAGACCCGTAGGTATCACAGGCAGCATTTCTGTGCTTTCGCTGTAAAGCTCAAGACTAAAATCTGGGCGTTGAACTGTTAGAGTTCCACCATTCAATGACACAAGCTAATCACTTTCTGCCGTACTACGGGCAGCATACGGGCATGTCCCATGTTTCCGAAGCACTTTCTCGTTAGTTTCTTCTTTAATAATGACAACTATGATAACAGTTAACATTCATTGACATCTTCCTATGTGCCAGTTAATATTCTAAGCACTTTACATAGATCATCTCATTGAATCCCCCAAACAAACCTGTGAGGTAAGTACTATAATTATTGCCATTTTACTGAGGAAGAATTAAGGCCCAGAGAGGTTAACATGCTCAGAGTCACTCACACAAAGAGTAGAAGAGCTGGGATTTGAACCCACGCAGTCTGACCTCAAGCTCACCTTCCCTACACACTGCCTTATTTCTCAATACGTATGTACCGGGTCCCTTTAAGGTAGGGCTAATCGTTTTCTAAGCGGTGCTGGAAGTTGGGTTTGTTACCTGGACCCCTCTTATATCCTTATTGTTGTTTATATTTCCTAGGTGTTTTTCCAGGTCTGACCATCTTGCCCTCCATATGAAGAGACATATCTAAAAACCCTAAAGGCCAGAGTTGCCATGGCGTCGGCCGTTGTCTAAAGGAAATGCCGTGAGGCAGGGGGCTGGACTTCAGGCGGGGAGCCATTGCCTCGCAGAAGAAAGTTCTCACGTATAAACCTCTGTGTACACACGCACACACACACACACACACACACACACACAGACACGCACTCACATAGACCCACACACACGCACTGTCATGCACTCAGCTATATTTAAAATATATACGTCTATTCTTTATGCCTTGCCCTTGCCAGATGGTAGAAGATGAAGAAGAAGGAAACCAGGTGAACTCAGCAAGGCAGACTGGCTGCTTACTTCAGCACTATTGGAATTATTTCCCGCTGTTGCCAATGGAAATCAAAGAAAATGGATGTGACGTCTCTTCAGGTGGACGGCAGTAAGAGGGGCTTATTTAACTTGCTTCTCAGTGCAACTTGATAGGAGAATACAACGTCTTAAAGTTGCATATGTGTAGCACTGATGTTTCTTTTTAAATAGTTGGGGGAAAATGACCTAGAAAACCAAATTGCAGTTTGGTAGCCAAAATTAACTCTTGGTTTATTTGTCCTTTGTGTGTGAAAAGTCCTACTATTCCGTGCGTCCGACTTCCTCACAGAACTGTTGATCGGTTTTGGTTCTTCTTAGTACTATTGAGATCTTTCGAGTCAATACCAACGGCCTTAGCGGCGGCAGACTCTGGAATAACACCTTACACCTTTCTGGCCTGCATTTCTCTAGACTTCACTCTCAAGGGAGGAGTTTTCTTTTCTTACTTTTTGACTCTTGCACACCATATGCACTAGGGATTCTGGAAACTTCTAGCATGACTGCAAAGTGGCCAAGAGAATAAAGTCCTTGATGATAAATCACAGTATATCCCTTGAGCCTCACCTTATTGCCAGTGCTAGATTTTTTCTTTTTAATCTCTCTGTTTTTGCTAACGAAAACTTGAAAAAGCTTATTTGGAAGCTTAAATGTTTTATCTTTTCTCCATGGACTAAACCTCTCCAGGACTCTCTCGGCACCTGGATGTCCAGCTCTCGAAGCAGCCAATCAGATGGGACATCACAGTTCTCTCATCCCCCTTGAGGCATCATGACCTCAGCTCATAGTGACCAACCCCGTGCTGTGTGTCATTGCCACCTTAGAACCACTTTCAGCATAGATGTCGCTAGTCTCAAAGGGCAGCTGCATATTTAGCCTAACTCTGGGTTCTGACCTGACAAAAAGCCAAAAATATCACTCTTTCCAGGAGTGGGGAGAACTGAGGATGCCTCCCGAGTCTAGTGGCTTCCGAAAACATCATCCTATCTTCCTCTCTCATACCCACTGAGCTCATATTCCCCCACTTGTTAAAACACACAATTCGAAATGCCATTGTGGGAACGAAGGGTGGACATTTAAGGAAAGGGTCGAGAAGTTTCTCTCATGGTCTGTCTGAAAGGAAAGACATATTTCTAATTCTTTTTGGCTAGACCCCCCATGACTCGTGACCTAGAGCACCCAGGATCAACAGAGGCCTCACACGTACTCTGCAAGCTGACTCCAAGGGGGCATACATTCCTCATTTTCAGCCCACACACATCCAATATCGGTCTCTATCTACCCGCATTCTTAGCTAGCTGGCCCTGGCCTCAACTCCAAAGACTGCCTTTAGGACCATTAAATGGCCTATGCAAGCAAGCGGGGTGGTTATTAGGACAGATTGTATATTTTGTATATTCTGGGACCATCCCTTCAAGACACGTCTAAAAAAAAAAAACAAAAATGGCGTTTGGTCCGCACATGGTTGCTGCTCCCTCATACCAGCTGGCTCCCCTTCTGCCCTCCTTTGACTGTTTGACTCATTGACTGTTAAAATGCCGCCCCATATCTATTTGGGATGCAACACTGAAGTCTTTAAAAGGAAATAATAATCTAAGCAACACAAATACATTTCTGACAGCAACCTTCAAGATCCTTGGCATTTGGTTTCTCAGCTTTCTGCAACCTTTGATTTCACTGAGATGTTGAAACTATTCGTCTAAGGGTAAAGGAGCCTCCTTATCACAAATGCTATAACTGCCAGTTGGACACTTGGGCGTTCTGAGGTCTGGCCCTTAAAGTTTTCTTTCTCTTTTTCGTTTTTTTCCGATGTAGACCAAAAACAAAACAACAGCAACAACAGCAACAACAACAAAAACCAACAACAGCAACAACAACAACAACAAAGAAAAGAAAAAGAAAAACCACCCTAAAACACACACACACACACACACACATAAAATAAAATCTGCCCATTTGCCGGAGGCAATTCTGTATATGTTAGTTGGAGGGTATTTAAAAAAAAAAAAATCAGTTTTATTCCAAAGATTTAAAACTAGACATGACTTAGAAACATTTTCTGGAGCACTGCTTGCTGACAATCTTCTAGTTCTCTACTGCATTTGAGTGCATTTTGTGGCCAGTCCATCAGGGCGTATCATGGGATTCTATTTGAATGTGTGGTGCATCCTTTCTGGATGAAGGATGTGTGAGGGACCCTTAAACCTCAGCTGTATTAAACTGTAGCGCCTCCAGTCAGTGCACTAGATGAAACTTTAGACACCCCAGATTTTGTTGGTTCGTTGATTTCCCTTTCTATAGCAGCCTCCAGCATGAATGCACGCACAGACCAGTGATGGCATTAGCCGTGGCTGCCACGATTTACAAATGTTCTCTCCCCTGCTGGAGCTGCTCTTGCCTCTCGAAATGCTATTATTAAGGGTTTATAATACTGAATTTAATTTTTGAACTGACCAATGCAAGGCTCTATTAAAAAGAAAGTTTAAAAAAAAAAGAACGCAAAAGAGTAATCATTGCTTGTTTGCTCCCTGTTGTCATCTGTGGTCTTGAAAAGTTCTCATTTGAATGTGGCGGAACAAAGGCCCTTTTGGTCCTCATCAGTGTCTGAAATGTTCAGTAATTCCTCTCTCTTTTGTATCAGTGAGGTCCTTTGTAATCTGCTCCTGACCTTGGTCGGAGCAGGGCGCGCTGAACCACGATGGTGAGGCTTACTTGCTTCAGAGTCCTTTGTGGGCTGTGAGAATTGGCCTGAAATTCGGTGGGTGCTAAGTGTATGGCTTTGAAACTGTTCTTCTCTAGCCTGGTTGACACCTGTGATCGGTGACCTAGCCACAAAAGCGAGGGTAACACCCCATCATTTTGGAAACGGATTCGTGATAAAATGTCCATCGTCTCTGAAATGGCAGAGATGGTTGGTAAGAGCCTGTGAGCGGGAGCAGGCTTTCCAGGAAATAACCATCTGAAGATGCTTTGCCCCCCAAGAGGACAGGTTATTTAAAACCGTGCTTAAATGGACATTTAAAACACATTAAACCGCTTTCTCATTTAAATCGTTACCTCCTGACATTCCCGGGGATCCCAAATTCGGAAGGAAAAACCTGGCATGGTGTTTCCTGCGGTTGTCCTCTCGAGCACATTTTATCCAGGGTTCAGAGCTTGATGTTCAGAGGAAGAGTGTTTCTAAGCCATTGACCATTTCCTTTCTTTCAAGTTGTGCTTCTGAATCCTCCTGCCACATGGCTGTGAGTCAAAGATGTGGAAACGTGAAATTATCATGCTTCTCCTAGCTACTGGCCTCCTGCCCCACTAACAGTTAATTGGCCCAGCCTAAAGCCTGGTGGTGATGAGTCCTATGTCCAGAAAAAGAAATGTTCAGATTCCATGACAAAGCTGCATTTTATAAAAATATCGGAAACCCCAAAATGAACTCATGCTGGCCATTTCCTCCTCCTCTCTATGTGCTTTCCCTTGCAAAGCCCTTCAGACACCCCATCTCCTCCCTTCCTGCACCTCTTGTGCCCTTTTTACATCTTCGATTGCCTGATTATAACAGGGTAAAAAGACAGCCAACCTCACGCATGATTAGCAGAACTGATTCCTATCTTTAAAAAAAAAAAAAAATCTTCTTTGAATCCAGAAGCCAGAGAAGATTTTTTTAAGGACTTTCCTTTGGGATAAGCTTCCAGATTAGCCATGTCTATTTGCATCAAAAGGGGAAATAAATGGGACTTTCAGGGCAGCTCACCTAGTGCATTCAGAACATTCCGCCCATAGCCCCCATGCCCGAATTGTATGGCAAAGTCAAAAGGAATGAACTCAAATGGCAAGAACAACCACCTCTAGTGATCAGTTTCATTGGTTCAAAATGATTTCCGCCATGGAAGTCGCTTCATAAAATATAAACTACAGTGCAGAGTACTTTTGTCTTCTCTTTTGCACAAGTTGGTTTTAGGAGAAGGAAGAAGGTAGGGAAAGTCAGAGAGATGCGACGTATTTAACTGCAAAAATCAGGTTTGTCGTTTCTTTCTTTTTAAAAGATCTCATGAGGGCCAGCGTTTCTGGCCATAATTTTGCACCCAGATCTTTGCCAAAGTGAAAATTCGTCAAGCAGAGCCTGTTTGAAATGTACATGTGGAAGCTTTCCCTGGCATCTTCCGGAAGTGGCCACCTGCCAAGTGTTGGGGGGGTGGGTGGTCGTGGGAGGGTAGGGGCTGGAGGAGAGAATTCAAATTCTGAGTTTGGGTTAAATTTCGGTAAACATGGTGATCTCTCAGTTTGGAAACTAGAGGGGCTGGCCTGAGCATACACCAATGCCTCTTTGACGGCCTCCTTTCCTCAGTGAGGATCTTCGGGAATACTTGAGACGGAATAACAAAAATGCGTCCAAGGAAACAAAAACTGCTTGTAAACATGAGATCCCCTGACTAATGGCCTGAGGCTTCAGGGTTTTCTCTTGCTTTTAACACTCTTAACCCCCCCTCTGTTGGTTCCTGATAAATAGATCCCGGAAAAGGGGGGAAGAATAAAGCTGCAATTCACTTTTCTTCTGTGCGCCCTTCCAGTATAGTACTGTATTCTTCAGGTGTTTTGCATTTACGTTTTTAAGTCCTCGGGAAACAGGTATCAAAAATGGAGAGCGAAATCCTAGGCGGTCACTTCACTAATATCCCCAACCAGATACTCTTTTCAAACAGGGCTCCCTCTCAGCGGGCATGAGGGAAGGGTGATACGTTCTTTGTTGGGGACTGTTTATACAATTTTTTTCAACTGTAAGCTTTGGAATCGTAAACTGCTTTGACTCCAGCTTCTGTCTACTGCCATAAAACGGACCCCACGTCAGAATAATGAGGGTGGTATGTGTGCCCACGCCTAGACAGGCGTGCAGATGTACCTATTGTACCTTCGCAGAAGGAAAACAGGCTACTGACGTTTAAGAGGAGTAGCCACCAGTGCCTAATATCTTTTGGGGGGGACGGATGCTTATAATGCCAGTATATTGAAACCACACTGGGAGCTCCACGTGGAGGGGAGGGGCGGCGGGTGGGGAGAGGGGACATTTTAATCCTAGGCCTTGGGACCGGAGGCAGAATGATTTCTGCAAATCTAGGTTCCGAAAGGCTTTGGGGCTCATTGGCTGGTTCTCAACCGTTTTCTTTCCTTTCCTTTCCTTTCCTTTTTTCTTTCTTTCTTTCTTTCTTTCTTTTTTTTCCAGCATGCATTTCCTATCTAAACCCAGACCTGATTTAATTTCCTTATCTTTCACTTCTGCTTCATTCCAGGGAGGAAAAATACACCTATTATGGCCAAGATCTCCTTGCTAACACAGAGGCAAAAATAAATGTTGAATGTTTTTGCAGCCTGCCCTTCCTTTCCATGAATCGCCCCAAACTCCTCCTCTCTCATCACCCTGTCCCCATACCCAGCACACAACTTCCCGACCACCACCACTTTCTTTCAAATCTCTATTATCCTCTTAACAGTTGCTTGAAGAAATTTATTTTTGCACTATACATTTTCTTTTTGCCAGATGTGTCTAACAAGTGTGTTAGGAGAGACCTACTCCCAGCCCCCTCCCCTCCCTTCCGCTTCCAGGCTCAGAACATTCTCCTCCTCTCCTCAGGCCTTCTCTGGTATTTATAATATATCACAGAAGTACCCAGTCTTATAGCCCTCGGTTATGCCTTTTTTTGACATTTTATTTTTTTTAAGCTTTTTATATATATATATAAATATATTACTTTGTCAAGTTTTTTTGCTGTACAAAAGTCTTAAGATTTAAAACTATTATTTTGGTATTATATGATGGTGGTATGTTAATGTTATGCAACAATTTGTGTTATACTATTTTTATACTGGTCTGTTTCATAATTCTTTTTTAAATTGGTATATTGTAAGAGTCTTATGCAAAAAAATACAGGCAGTGATTCCATTTTTATTTTTAAGAATGTGGGACATGGGTATAAATAGTAGAATGTGTTTGGTCTGGAATGCCTCACTGTAGTGTGTCTCTCCCTGAAGCTCCATTTCCTTGCCTGAAGAAGTTAGGTCCCCTGGACCCAACGTGGCCCCTGAACTTACATCGAGAGTTTTCTCTGAGAGAAAGGAAGGCAAGATTATACAGGGTCATTTGTCTTTGGTTTGGAGGCTGTTGGCCTGGTGTGTGTGTGTGTGTGTGTGTGTGTGGTTTTATGGTTTTCCTTCTCACCTAGGTAGCCTGAGTCTACAAGATGGAACCCTGAAACTGTTTCTCTGAGAGGAGGGAACGTAAACGGGTTGAGGTTATGAAAGCAAGACCAGAACGCAGGTGGGCTACGTGGGATGTTATTTAGTGGGGAGGAGAGGCTTATTGAAA